GAGTTTAAGGTTGAACTTAATTAACTGCTTTTTTTTAGTTAAAAAAACAAAAAGCAGAAAAAAGGAAATGAGCATAAAAAGACATTGTTTACTCTAGAATATTATTTGTTAAATTTTGTCTATTCTTTTTGCATACCTTCTTCAAGGATACTTTCAATAACTGTGCAGACTGTAGACTATAGTCATACATGTTTTTTAGAGATGAAAAAGTCAGAGGTTATTCTTTTCTTGATCACTTTTTTTTTAGTAATACAGGATGTCCTAAACATCTTGGTGTAGTTTTAAAATTTAATAATGTTTTAAAAGCTTTAAGTTTAAAAACTGCACTGACATTTGGGATATCTTATAATGCCCAAGATTTTTTATGTCTTTTATATTGTCCTCTCAGTTTGTGAAATGATCTTTCAACATCATTTAAATTGTGTTCCTTTCAGCATGAATCATTTCTGCTTGATCTGTATGAACTATCCTAATTTTATTTAGTGACATTTCTATATCTTTATATAGTGCACTGGGGACTGTTATGTTAGAGTCTAAAATGTGGTGATTCCACTGTCATGGATAAAGAAAAACAGTTTTTTGAAAAACAGTTTGCTGTAGCAACCTTGACAGATCTTTTCCATTTTTGTCTGTTTGTTAGATTCCCAATTTTATCTTTAAATGTTCTCAGGATGATCTGGCTTAAGTTGGGTGTCTTGTCAAACTTGATTTTCTATTCATTATTCTTTGCTTTTTTAAAAATGAGATAACACTGCTCATAATCTTCCAATATCCACTTCTGAAATATTTTAAAAATGAGTTTCTCATACAAGCTAGTGTTGCTCTTGGTTGCCATAACTCTCTTCTTACCAAGGAGATCATGTTTGCTAGCTAAAGAAGTTTCTAATTATTTTTTATTTCCTCAATGTAGCAACTGACTTGTATTACTTAAACTGCCTTGGAAGTAGAGATAGCCTGTGTCAATGACTGTTTCCTTATCTACTTCCCAATTTTCAGCCACTTAAACAGGGCAGATTGCTATTAACTCAATTGCAAGCCATATCATTTTATTTTTATTCTTTTTTCATTTGGCATTGATTTAAATCTCTGTTTTAACTGTTGATGCTCTGATTCTATACATTTGACTTATCCAGAATGTCAAATAGTCATTTCTTATCTATTAGTATAACAACAATTTCATTTTGTGTATCATTTTTTTTAGTGCTTGCTACATTTAGTACCTCCCAACTGTATTCCCAAAGAAATTATTCATGATACATATGTAAGAGGCTTCTGTGTATTTGGCATGTCCTTACTATCTAATTTTTCACTCCCGAACCATGTTTTCCAACATTTTTCTCTGCCCTCCATTAGGTCCACTTTTATATTGAAGTAACCAAATATTAAAATTAAATTGAATTATTTTGGAGGGGTTTATTAAGTTCTCCATAAAATTTCTTTTGTTGTTTAGTTGTTTCATTCGTTTCTGATTCTTTGTGACCCCATTTGGGGTTTTCTTGGCAAAAATACTAGAATGGTGTGCTATTTCCTTCTTCAGCTTATTTCACAAATGAGGGAACTGAGGCAAACAGGGTTAAGTGATTTGCCCAGGGTCATACAGCTAAGTAAGTGTCTAAGGCTGAATTTGAACCCAGGAAGATAAGTCTTTCTGACTCCAGTCCCAGCATTCTATCTACTCCACCACCTAGCTGCCCCTAGAATTTCTTCACTTCTTCTATATCTGCAACAAATGTTGGCATATTAACTGCTATTGGTATTTTTTTTTACAAATATTTATTGTCAGTACTGCAGTATGACATCATAGGACTGTAGGGTCATAAATTTAGAGCTCTAAAAAGTCAAAAATTCCACAAAATAATGATTATTATTGCTTTCCTTGTTGCCATAATAAACCAACTCCTTTATCTTCTTTTCCAAGAGATGTGAACCATTCTTTCATTTAGCTTTGGCTTCCTTTTATTTAATTTGAGTGAATATGTCAATATTGGTATAAATCAATTTCTCCTGTAGTATACTTACCTGTAGGTTGGTGGACAGGGATCTCACATTTAGAATCCCAACAGTTAAACTATCACTTACAGAGAATCTAAAAACAAGAGATGGGGCAAGATACAATGGAACAAAGTCCTTGACTCTGGAGTGAGAGGACCTGGCTTCCGAATCTTCTTCTGACACTTGCTAGTTAGGTAACCTTGGGCATAGCTTGACTGTACCTGACTGGACTAGATGGTCTCTGAGGGCTTTTCCAGTTCTAGATTTATAATTATCGGTATCTTCTACCCAATTTTTACTGCTTTGCCATTGCTACAACAGGAATGGAATGGGGCCAAACAGAACTGAGGGCTATTTTTTTCATAAATCAATTGACAAGCATTCATTAAGAGCTTATTATATAGACAAAATGCTCATGCTTTCTGCCCAAGAAATTCCACTACTAGGCATATACCCTAAGGAGGTCATTGATAAAAAGAAACTTCCCATATAAAAACTTATAGCAGCATTTGCATGGTAGCAATGAACACAAAATAAAGAAGATGCCCATCATTTGTAGAATGGCTAACCAAATTATGGCATATGAATGTAATGGAATATTACTGAGCTATAGGCAATGTATGAATGTGATGAATACAGAGAAACATGGAAAGATGTAGGTAAACTGATACAGAATGAAGTAAGCAGAGCCAAAAAAAACAATACAACAATATAAATGAAAAGAACAACCCTAAAATAACTGAAAATGAATATTGCAAAATTACAAAGATGAAGAAGAGATATGAGAAGATGGAGCCAAGAAAACAATACAGCAATATGAATTAAAAATAACCATAAAATAATTGAAAATGTATATTGCAAAATTACAAAGATCAAGAAGAGATACCTCCTCCCATTTCTGTGCAGAGATGTGGGGGGTGCATAGGTGCATATATTGTCAATTTTTTTGATGTACTGATAAGTTTTACTGATTTTTTTCCATCTTCCTCTTTTTTTTCCCTTTTCTTTCAAAAAATTTTTGTTCTATAGTATGGCTCTCTGGGAAAGGGAATAAAATGGAAATGTGTAAAAGCAAAAGATAACAATAAAATTTTTTTTTAAGTTTACTATATGCAAGGTACCCTGCTAGGCACTGGGAATACAAAGACAAAAAGAAAGGAAAAAAGAAAGAAATAAAGAAAGAAAGAGAAGGAAAGGATGGAAGGAAGGAAGGAAAAAACAGAAACTGTTCTCCAGGAACTTATATTCTACATGGGAGAGACATATACTCAGATAAATAAATACAAAATAAACATAATATAAGTTTTTATTGGATGAATGGATTGTTCATAACTCAACTAAAGACTCCTATAGACAGTGGCATTTGAGTTGAGCATTGAAAGAACCTAGAACTTTCTAAAGGTAGAGGTAAAAAGAAAACACATTTCAGGTATGGAGGACAGCCTATGCAAAGACATAAAGATGGGTTCAGGTGATGGGATTGTTTGGGGAAAAACAGGTAAAAATATAAATAAGTGTAAAATATATGAAAAATAAAGACATGGTAGTTTAGAGGGAGTAACATCAATGTGGGAGGGGGGCATCAAAAGGGCTTCATACAGGAGGAAGTGATTGGAATGAACTTTGAAGGATGCTGGGGAAAGGAGGAATTGGTGAAATGAAAATGCATATCAGGCATGAGGAATCAGTCTGTGCAAAGGTTCAGAGATGGAGTTTCACGTACAGAAAACAACAGGTAAACCAACTTGTCTGGAACATGAAGGGAAGCCTGGAAAGGTAAGCTGGAATCAGACTGAGGAGGTGGAGTCAGATCCATCATCCCAGCAGTTGACCCAATGATGATGAAGTTCTCCATCCTTAGCTAGGCTAGTCCACAGAAAACAGACAAAGACCATACTCAAGGTCTTTCTAATTTGGTAAGCTCTGCCACAATTTGTAAAGCACTGAGCATGAGTTATGGGGAACTGCCCCCTGGTGGATGAACTTGGTTTTTTGTCTGGGGTTCTCAGGTAGCAGACAATTGGAGGGGGAAGGGCTTCTTTGGAGAGGAGATATGGACTGTCTCCCTCTACTTCCAGAGCTCTTCAGACCAGACAGAAGAACTGTGTGTGCCCCTTCCCCTTGAGGTTATTGAGTAGGCTTTGGAAGGCCCCAGGGAGCTGTGCTCAAAATTCATTTTTACAGTAAAACCAACCACCTGATTATAATACTGCATCTCCAAGAGGTCAGAAAGACTCCCCTCTTAGAACTTTCTGAGAACTTAGAGTCAACTATACACCATGATAAGACATCAGAATAGGACTTTGAGAAAAAGGCAAAGGCTAGATTGGTTTAAAAAAGTTTTGGGGAGGCTGGGTCTTTTGGGACATGGGGGCTAGGTGAAGGAGGGGAAAGGCTGATTTAAAAGGGAGGGAGGGATAGAATGTGGAATTCAAAACCTTAAAAAAATGTAAAAATTGTTTTAACATGTAATTAGGGAAAAATTTTAAAAAATAAATTTTATAACTTAAAACAAATAGGCACAACTGAAATGAGAAAACCTCTTCTCATTTCATTTGTTGACTTCCTATGGAAGCAAAAAACCCTAAAACAAAGTGACGCATCTTAGCAAATAATTAAACAGCTTAATTGTGGATCAGGCAATCATGTTTTAATGACTGACTCTGGAATAATGTTCAATGACAATGCTTATCTTTAATTACTGCAGTTATAGAGAATTCATCCTGCTTCACTAGGATCTTTTATTCTTAATGCCCTCTCTAAGGAAATCAGCATATAGGACAGTCTCTCATCTCCCCATAAAGTGATCTAACTTTCAAGACAGATATTTGGTTGAGGGGGATGGAAAGAGACATTTTTCTCCAATAGAGTTATTTTTGGTGATCAAGACACTTATTAATAAACCTAGCTGTGAGGAGAATGGTTTAACTCCAGTTGTACAACTTGGTTATGGGAAATCAATCCACCAATACAGGGGCCACATAGGCAGCTCCACAGAGGTCAAATACCTGGATCCTCAATGGCGAGATTCTTCATAAACCATTGCACAATGTCGGTACCTGTAACGACAAAACATTCCCATCTTAGGACTTCAAGATATTTTAATATTTGGGAAGTTTTTAGAGTTCTTGATAGTGAAGAAATATTCTCTGAGAGACTCAGATCAAGGTCCTGCAGTCTCTGTTGGAGAGTTAGAGCTTTTCATGGCCGAGGAAAAGTTTTTATTCTGTTCGCATGCTTTTAAGCCATTCCAATTGTTCTCCAGATACTGTCCAGTTCTGGTACCCAGTGCAGTGACCATCTACCCCCTACAGCATACCCCCAAGATCAAGGGTTCTTAATCTGGAGCCCATTAATTTTAATTTTTTAAAATTTTATTTTTAACTTATGGAATAAAACAAGCATTTAAAAATATATTTTTGGTAATATATTTCAATATATTTAGTTTCCTTTGTAATTCTATATATTTTATTTTAAGCATTTGAAAACATCATTCTAAGAAGGGATCCATTGTCTCCACCAGACTGACAAAGAAAAGTTAAGAACCTCTGCCTTAGATAAAACCTATGTGACTCCTGGGTCTACCCAAACTTGGGATGACACATATGGTACTTTATGTGATTTACATACATTATCTCAGCTGTGCCTCAAGACACAAAATCACCCCTTGTAAGGTAGGTGATATTATTATTCCCATTTTGCAGATGGAAACATGAGGTTCAGAATGTTTAAGTGACTTTCCCAGGGTCACACAACTTATTAGGATCTAGGGTAGGATTTGAACCCTGGTCTTATTCAAAATCCAACATTCTATTGACTGGTTTACTGGGCAAAGTTTCATGATGCCAAGTCATGAAGCACATTCCAGAAACCAGCCCACAGTTGTTCTCTCCTACTGCTGAAAAAAAAAGTATTAAAAAGTATATCATGCCTAGGAAAATGTCTCATTTCCCCCTGGAGCTATGGTCCCTTCTCCTTTGTCCACCTGGAAGCCCTCACTGAAAACACAGGATGGCCTTTTAAAAGGACTAGTTTGGCAGATAGAAATGAAATGATTGGACTGCATCTAATCTGCAAGAGGTAACTTTTCCAGGCAATTAATTTTTCCTTCTAGTATGGACCTGTGGACCTACTATTTTGGGTAACAGGTATGTTTTGTGCTTTTCCAAGAGGGAAGGAACAGTCGAAGCCTTCTCTCCTTTTGGTAGTCATCTTAATCTTCCTTTGATCCTTAAATAAAATCAAGAGATCCCCTCCATCCATCCTAAATCACATGTCTGACTACATTAGTCTCTTGCTCAAGAAGGTTCAGAGGTTGACTCTCCATCACCCCTTCACAGTCTAGCTCCAACCTATCTTTCCAGGCTCATTACACATTACTTCCCCTCAAAGACTCTATATGCCAGTCAAACTGGCCTAGTCGCTATTCTCTGGGGCATGACTTTCCATCTCCAATCTTCTGTACAACTTACATGCAGGATACTCTTTCTTTACTCTCACCTCCAAGAATTTTCACCTCCTGGAACTTTCAAGGCCCAACCACTTCCTAAAAGGGGCCTTACCCAACTTCCCCAGTTGCAAGTGCTCTCCCATCAAAAAACTGCAACATTTTTTACTTACCTATGTACTTATTTCTCCCATTAGAATATAAGTTCCCTGAGGGCAGTGTCTTTTTCCTTTTATTTTTCCTTTGCATTTTATAGCCTGACACATAGTAGACACTTTTTTTTAAATAGTGAATTGATTTTTTTACATTTATTTGATTTATTTTTAATTTATGGAATAAAACAAGCATTTACATAACATAATATAATAAAAAAGATGATTGCGCATGAAACTGCAAATGTATTATGTACAATTTGCCATTCCTTTTAAATATACAGTAGACTTAATAAATACTTGTTAAATATGATAGAAGCAGGTCTAGTCAAGTCAATAAGCATTTAGTTAGTACCTACTCTATGTCAGGGATTATGCTAAGCATTTTATTATTATTTAGTCATTTTATTCATGTCCAACTCCTTGTGACCCCATCTGGAGTTTTTTGGCAAAGATATGGGAGTGGTTTCCCATTTCCTTCTCCAGCTCCTTTTTCAGATGAGGAAACTGAGGCAAACAGGGTTAAGTGACATACCCAGGGACACAGAGCTAGTAAGTGTCTGAGGCCACATTTGAACTCAGGAAGATAAGTCTTCCTGACTTCAGGCACGGTATTCTATCCACTAGCCATCTAGTTGCCCCATGCTAAGCACAGGGGATACTTCTTGTTTCTGTTGTTATTTATTCTTACTTCTAGAAGAGGTCCAATAACATTACCAGGGTGACATCTTGACTTACAAAGAAAGGCAAAAAACAATTCCTGTTCTCAAGGAACTCAGCATTTATTGGGGAAGACAACGTGTAATCACTGCCTAATTTTGAATATGCATCTTTGGAGATTCTTTCCTCACCTGTGTTCCATGACAGTATTTCTAAACTAAACATCTGAAGCCAAGTCTCCATATTTATTCTCCTCTGTGGAGTTTCTATGACATTCCTCAAACCATACAAGTTCAACAGTTGAGAAACAAAGGGAAAAAGGCTTAAAATAAAGTGAAATTTTTCATCCTGAGACCAGAGAAGGGAAGTCTAACCTGTTTATTTTAGAAAAAAAGAAAAATAGTTCTTTCTTCCGTGTTGCCTAGGAACTGGAAGGTTTACAACAGGGCTCCAGCTTTCCCCAGGGCAAGAGGATTATCTTTCTGCTGAGCTTGCTGAACCATTATTTATCACCTGCCAAGATTGATTACTCACCCCGGGACAATGACAGACCATCCTTTCCCCTGTTAATTACTGTCATCATTAATATCCATGTCACTAATTAGTATTCATTCACATTGAAAATTCCTTCTCTGCTATCATATCAGCACTCCCCTAGGCCCCCCGAACCCAACTTCAAGTTTTAATACTATCTCCTACTTTTTAATCAACATCATGCCCACTCTTCCTTATACACTTGTTGCCTTTCCTCCAAACTCCTTTCAAATGGTCCCAGGGCTTCTGCATAAGCTACACAAAAAAGAACTGCTGTTAGGATATTCATCCAGGAAACTTTTCCCTTCTTCCTATTTCTCCTAACATCTGGCTTCTCCTTCCTGATGTTACCACACTCTGCAAGGGAGGCACAGCTCTCTCGTCTAGAGACTCCAATGACTTAAGCCCAGACGGCCTTAAGGTTATCTCTTTGCTTGTACCCTGGTGAATTGAGATTAGCCACTAACTTACTTTGGGGTTCTCATATCTGTTCATTCAGATTTAATTGAACTAATTCAGAGGTGGCCATTCACTGGCCCCAGGACCACATGAACCTTTTCTGAGAGTCATGCATTCTCCCTGAAACAAGCAGAGAGAAATAGTAAATGCTATAATGAATCCTAAAGAAAAGAAGAAACATATTACCATTTACTTGGAGAGACCTAAAATGATACTTTTTTATTTTTATATTAATTTATTTTGATTTATCAATAATCACTTCCATATGCTTTTGAGTTTAAAGTTTTTCTCCCCCTCCCTCCCCACCACTCTCCCCAAGACGGTGTACAATCTGATACAGGCTATACATTTACATTCATATTAAACATATTTTCACATTAGTGATGTTGTAAGTAAAAATTAAAGCCTAAAATGATACTTTGATGTAAATACGTTGTTTCTAAAATTTATTATGGTCTTTTAGTAATGCTATTCATTCTTATGAATCTTAGCTTCTTCCTTTGGTCAGAATGACCACCTTTGGAGTAATATCCAATATTTAGATCATGCTTGAGGGTTTGCAAAGAACTGTATATTCATTACGTCATTCAAGCCTCCCAACAGCCTTTATAGGGTAGGTACTATGAGTATTCTTATCACCATTTTACAGATGAGGAAACTGAGGATCAGAGGTTAAATAACTTGCCTGGGATCACACTGTTTTTAAGATTCCAAGAAAACTAAGCCAAAAAATTCACATTCATCCTGAAGATTCAAGAGGGCTTTTTCAAAGTTCTTTTGGGTGCTAGCCTATCAAAACATTTTCTAATAGTTCATTAAACACTGAATCATACTTGTGCAAGGGTGTCTCCCTTTCAGATTTTGGAAAGTTTGTTAGTCATAAGGGGCATGGATGGGTACGAGGTGAGGCTTTAAGTAACTAATTTATGAAGCTAGGAAAGCAGCAAAGACAATGGACTTGCCCCCAGGACATATACTGCCTCAGTACTTTGTTTCTCAGCTGCTAATTTGCAGGAGACCAACAGAAGAAACTTAGAGTTAAAAAGAAAAACACCCTGGAAAACACTGAACCAATTCAATTTTCAATTCAGTAAACATCTACTCTGTGCCAGGCACTGTGCTAAGTACTGAGGATACAAAAAGAAGCTAAAGACAGTTCTTGCCATCAGAGCACTTACAATCTAATGGGAGTGACAACACGCAAACAAATACATAGAAAGCAAGCTATGTATACGGGATAAATTGGAAATAATTGACAGAGGGAAGGCATTGGAATTAAGATGAGTAGAAGAAGGCTTTTTTTCCATGAGGTGAGATTTTAGTTGGGACTTAAGGGAAACCAGGGAGGTTAGTAGTTGAAGTGGAAGAGGGAGAGTATTCCAGGCATAAGGGAAAGCCAGAGGGAATGCCTGGAGCTGAGAGATGTGAGCTAGGAGGTTGGTGTCACTGGATCAAAGAGTATGTGTGTGGGGGGGATAAGGTGTAAGAAATCTGGAAACATAGGAAGGGGCTAGATTATGAGGGCTTTGAGTGCCAAACAGAGGACTTTGTATTTGCACCTGGAGGCAAGAAGAAGCTACTAGAGTTTATTGAGTAAGAGGGTGACATGAACCACAGAACTATTTGGTGATTGTTGGGCAAATGGCTCTGGTCTGTAGAGATGACAAGTTAGTAAATATGCAGGATCATCACCATATGTGAGCATGAAGTCTCTCTGAATAGACCCAGTTCTGAACCAAGAAAAAGAGAGCCTATGCCTTTTGGCTCTGCTACTTGATGCCTGGATGGTGAAAACAATGAACCTCAC